GATATAGTCTTTCGGAAACAATGAGCAATATGCAAACAATGTTTCAAGCATGACTGGAGCACTATCGTAACTGAAATTGAGGACTTGTATAATTCCATCATCAACCTCATCAATTTCTGGTATTTCTGGAAATTCGTGCACTTTGTAACGGAACCATTCATCTTTCTTTGCCGTACAAAAGGCCTCCAATAGTTCTAATGGCAAGGGGAACCCTGTGCATTTTTTAACTATATCTCGACCTATCTCCTCCAGTGCTGGGTCTACCCCATCTCCAAAAGCCATTTTCCTGAATAAGTTCCACGACTCATTTTCAGCTAGGCCACGTAGAACATGAATAACTGATTTCTCATCCATGACCTTTGCAACTTTGTGGCTGCGAGTGGTTACAAGTATCTTGCTTCCCGGTAAACCACCCTCAAGCCATTCTCCAAGCTCGAACCATTTATGCCGAACTTCATTCCACAAGTCATCCAAAACAAGCAAGTATTTCCCCAGATAGAGTCTCACAAAGAAGACTCGGCAACTGGTCTTCAGGCTTATTCTCAACATCTTCTGATAACTTTTTCATCTCATCATCATGTCCTCGACAGTCACTTTGCAGATTTAAGAATTTCTTTGAAAATCAGACCACATCAAAGACATCAGATACACAAACCCACATCTTAAGCCCGAAATGTCCTTTTACCTCCCATCGTTGTATACTAGTCGTGCAAGTGCGGTTTTTCCAAGACCTCCTTTACCGACGATGGAAACCACGGACACAGTGTTGCTAGAGGAGGAAGTAAACAAAAGTTGTTTGATCTTTTTCTTTGTCCTCTTCCTCACCAATTATTTTAGTGTCAGGTGCGAGAAATTCAGGCTTCTTTTCGTCTTCCGGTGACCATTTTTCCCTCACCGAAGCAGCGTAAAGTTGAAATTATTATTATATGAATTCATCCAGTTTCTTCCTAAGTTGCCGAATCTGATTAGCCACGTTGAAGCCGTGCGCAAGCTGATTTGATTCGAGAAGAAAAGGCATACCTCTTTTCATCATCTTGTTGCTAGCCATAGTTTTGTCGTATTTCAGGTCTTCGGTCAGAGATGTCATCGAACAAGTCCTGTGCATCGTACAGCACATCCTTGAGCCCCTCGACCCAGTGCTCGAATCTGTTTGTCCTACATTGTTGCTTCGGCATCCGGAAGCACAAGTTGGATGGTCTTGATAGTTTCCCTAAGACTATGGAGCCGCCCTCGCCACAGCAGAACAATTGGATCATTTGAGAAGGTAGGGCGCGAGGTTTCCCAATTTGGGAGCCGATAAAGCTTTCCATTATGCCAGTGGGCAATGCTGTAGAGCAGTGATTCGGCCATTTCCAAAGGCAAAATCAGGGTCGAGAAGGCTGCAGAGCTGATGCTTTTGTTGAGAGACAATAGTTTGGTGGTGCGGCATGATCAACTTCATGCACGAATATACAGCAAGGCCAAACGGCATTTCCATGTTAGTTCATGGTCACTGTCACCTGTAAATTCAGTGGGAATGGATTTGACCAGTAAGAAGATAAGCAGTGTGCAAATGTTAGGTGGTGTGATCAACTCATGCACGAATATACAGCAAGGCCCAACGGCATTTCCATGTTAGTTCATGGTCAGTCACTGTTGTAAATTCAGTGGAATGGATTTGACCGATAAGAAGATCAGCATGTGCAAATGTTAGGTGGTGTGAAAGGCGCGTGGGTCCAGAAAAAGCAAGAGTTAACACTACAAATGCCAGCAACTCAGTATAATAGCAAGCTCACTGGGCTGCCATAAGTTTTTTTGATCACTTTAGTGCTAAAATTTTTGAAATCGATCACTTAAGTGCTAAAATTTCTTGAAAAACGATCACTTAAGCGCCAACTCCTAGAAGGCGTACACAATTTTTCGCCAGAATCCGATGTGGCATTTTTTTTATTAATTTTGAAGCCGACGTGGCAAGCCGAGACGGTACTTAGGCGATCGTTTTTAAAAATTTAAAGCACTTAAGTGATCGTTTATAAAAATTTTAGCATTGAAGTGATCCAAAAAAAAACTTTTGGCACTTATGTCAGGTTCGTTTCCATGATGTGTCATCATCTCATTTTCCTGAAAAACATTTTTCACAGGCTAACCCAGCTCGCAAAATGCCGTTTTCTGTGGGAAAAACATTTTCCTTACCCATCTCAAATCCTTCTCATTGTTTGAGGAAAATGATTTCCTTTTCACAAAGAGGAAATCATTTTCCCCCAAATCAAGGCAAAATTGCCCATGGAGGGAAAATGTTTTCTCGCGAGAGGATGTTGATCACCAGCCATCGCTGTTGGGTCCGTTGCCGGCCAGCGGCCGCCGGCTGGGCTTGGCCGGCCAAGGCTGCTTTCATTGGGCTGGCTGCTACGGCTACGGCTTTGGCGGGTCCACGCTCACGGGCTGCTAGCTGGGCTGCTGCTGGTGCCGCTGTGGCTGCTGCTGCTACGGTTGCCGGCCGGCTGTTGGGCTGTCAGCCGGCCACTGGCCCGCCGCTGCCGGCCATGTGGTTTGGCCGCGTAGGAAAAATTCGAAACTTTTTCATATTGATCGGCCGAACACCGTAAAAATTATGTTCCCGGAAAACATTTTTCGTCAGAAAATGACTTCCTCGAAAATATTTTCCAAAAGGAGTATATTTTCCGCCAAACGAATCTAGAGCCTAAGCGATCATTTTTCTTCCGATTTGGCACTCAAGCCGAGCTTCAGCCAAAACTTTCGACACTAAAGCCGAGCCACTGTAGGCGTGCTTATAGACTTATAAAGGCCCTTTTGGCGTGAAAAAGGGTCTAAAGAAAGAAAGAGCAAAGACCAAAAGCCTATAGGTCTAAAAAGCAGGTTGCCCCGTATGTTTTGAGAAAATTTTCTACTTTTTGTTTTCATTTTCGTTTGGAACGTGAAAACAGTATTGAAAAAAAGCCTTCGGTCACGTATTGAGAGTAGTTTCCAAGGAAAACCCAAAATTGTTTAAGTAATCCTAGAGTTGATGAGGAGAAGGTCACAAGAGATTGCTGAAAAATACTCTCAAGTACTGGTATTGGTCGAGATTTCTAGTGAATGCACTTCAACGATGAGCTATCGGGTAATTAGATTTCCATCGCGATCGGGATGTCGAACTCGTCGAAAGAGTCTCGGCCATGTAATCTTTGTTGATTATTCTAGGGCTATTATTACGAAAAATCCTAAACCTGGGTACACCGCGAAAAATTTATTCAAACTAATTTTTGACTACAAAAACCCCAAATCGTTATTATACATTGTAACAAATTTACCCTCCGTTAAATTGGATTAATACCACAAAAAAATCATAAATTGATAAATATGTTGCAAAAAGAGGGTGGAAGCCCTAAATCGGAGAGACTGCATACCGCCACGCGCCATCTAACTTAGCAATTTGGATGCAAAATTCTAACTAAAACTAACATATGGTAAATTTATCAGCTGTGTGTACCGGTTTGGGGCTTTTGGTAGTCAAAAAATTGGGTTGGAGGAATTCGTTATTATGCTGTAATACACTCGGGAGTTTTTTGTGGTAAAACCAATGGAGAGTAAATTTTGTTTAAGCTTCTGATGGTAATATCAATGAGAGGACAAGAAAGTTTATATTCCCTTGGTTATGAACAAGGTGAGCGAGAATGCAAGTATACGATGCACCTAAATTATATTCACATGTTGTTAGTAGATAAGTTAGATTCTCTCATACGCTACTTCCGGATAGAAGTGATTGTGAATGTATGGTATTGAGCATGCATGCGTAGCTCAAGAGAACGGGTTGCATCGATGATGAGTTCCTAACAATGCCAATGGCAATCGCAAAGTTCACGGGGTAATTGCAGTTGTCCGATTTCACTTTCAGTCAATCTCCGTAGTGGGAATGGAAATTGACCAATAAGAAGATAAAGCTTGTGGAAATGTTTGGCGGTGTGAAAGAAAGACGCATGAGGTCCAGGAAAAGAGAGGAAGGACCCGATAAGAAGACAAGTGTGTAAAAACAGGCTGCAGGATCTTGCATGGGGATAGACCTAAAGAAGGGTAAGCCACCTTGCTGCAACTGCTATAAGTGAAATGATTTAAAACTTCAAAGATCCGGTGCTACCTGGTGGATATATACGCGTATTCGGATCCATCAAGATCGCAATCAATGTCTAAGGCGCTTTTCAACATCCAGAGGCGAAATGACTCCTACCAAATTAGAATATCCTGCAAGCCATAATGAGAGCATATCGGCTGACCAGCTTTAATTGGGAGTAGCTATGAGCCCTAAGTTGCTTTTACCTTCAAGAATCATTTAACGTGATGCTTGTGCTTGGACATAAAGAGTCCTTGTTCCTTCCGCTGCTACCGACATGGATTCCATTCTAAAATCACCCATACGATGTATCCAAGCAGATCAGCCAATATCAAGAATTCCTAATATCCGTTTAAGAACAAAGCATGCCGCAGTAAAAAAGGAATACTTAACCAGTTAAAACACTCCTAACAATATTCTTTCAAAAGCTAGTGTTATATCAGATTTGACCAAACAATTTTCGTGGATTGCACTCAAATTAATAGCTTGATGACCACTTAAGAAAGGCACTCATATCAACGTACAAACACACAGCTAAACCATGAAAAATCCATTTGTGGCTGGTACGGACGGAGAGGAAACGCAAGTGGGCAATGCTATGTCGTGGATAACTTTTGGAAGATTCCCAATGGACGAAGTCCGAGCTTGATATGCCCGAAATCGATAGGCTTCCCTAGCTAGTCTATCTCATGGCTTGACTATGAGGCAAAAAGCAAAGCACGTTGCCCTGTTTGTTTAGAGAAATGGCCCTTCTTTGCTTTTCATTTTCGTGAACTTAGTATGTTAAGAAGCGCTTAGTCGTGTATTCAGAACCGTTTCCAAAAAAGCAGTTTTCAAAATCGTGCTAAGTGATTGTATAGATGATGAGAACACTATGAGAGATAGATCCAATAAATTGCTCTAAAGTGCTAATATGATTAGAAGATTCTTTAGCGGATGCACTTTATATGATGAGGCACCGAGATAGATTTTTACCGACTACGATCGCATATCAATCCACTGAAAAGTTTGTCAAAACGATGCAGCAAAAAGCAAAGCAAGTAGCCTTGTTTCGATAGAAATCAGGACACTTGTGTGGTGTCGCATTGACGAACACGTGTGGAATGGACATGTCATTGAAAGCGGTGGGTTGAAATGAATCTTTGCGAGTGGACATCGTCGCCGTTAAATACATTTTCCATGGGCCTGGAGCCTTGCTGCAGTGATCTATCTGTTACATTTGATATATCGAAAATTTGTCATCCTAAACGCACATCATCATGGCTCCATAATTTATCATCGAGTAATAATTTCATATCGCGAATAAGAATTCATACTTTCATATAAATTAAATTTGGCATATTTGGGATGATTTTGTTCCTTAACTCACGAACAATCGTAAGCATTATGACCACCGGTGGTATTTATGTTATTTTCATATATGAATTTAAAGAAAATTAAAAATCTAGGTGATGACAATAAT